GTAGAGCTGAAATTCACACCAAAATTCTGTCACAGGAAAGTATTCTGTATAGTCTTCATATGTGAGTTTTCGATATACAGAGATTTATTTATTTTTTAAATGGGGATTGAGGATCATTCTTTCATATGAGTCCTCACCTGCAACTTGAAGTGGTATAACCTATTACCGTTAAAAAAAAAAAAAGTCATCAAAAAGCCTGCCAGTTTAACAGTGTGAGTGTGCATATGGAGAAAGTGTCATGTATGGGTACTGAGGTTTAATCCTTCCTGTCCACAGGTGAGGAAATCGGCTTTGACTCCAGTGTTTCTGGAAAGATCCCTGAGGAACCATGGATGAGGAGCACAGATGACAGACAGCATCCTATGGATGCATGAAAATTCCTCATTCCAGTTTGAGAGCTGGGGTGAAACAATTCTACCATGTGGAAGCAGCTTTAGTCACCCCATTTTTATGAGGTCTTCTGAGTTTACTAGTTCAGCAATCAGGAATGACCCCAGAAGAGTGTACTTGTAGTATCACTGTGCTTTTAGGTCTGTGACAAAAACCTAGGAGCTCTGCTTTCCCTTTATGCTGTAATCATGTTATTGGTACAATTTCTTTTACATTTTCTTTTTGTTTGTTGTTTATATTTTTATTCTGTTGTTCCTCCCAGGATAGCATACATGGCTACAACATTCTTTCTGTAACCCACCCAGATTATCTCCTCACAACAGCCTTGTGGGATAGGTTATACTGGGGGTGTCAAACATGCAGCCCAGGGGCCGGATGAGGCCCCCGGAGGGCTTCTATCAGGCCCGCAGTGGAACTGGCTGTCTTCTGCTTCTTCTTCCAGTTCTGCTGCTGCTGCAGAATAATCTGAGATTTGACTCCCGGGGGGGGGGTGTCTCCCCAGGCCTAGTCACACATTCATACACCACACTGGTTGTCCATAAGGTGAATTATTTTGTTGCTACCAATAAGTGATATCTGAATTGGGCTCTTTCCAAATCTAACCAGTAGTCCACACTGGCTCTCCAGTGCTCTGTTGTGAGATGTATATACCCATGACAAACAACACCCTATTGTGTGACTCATGCCCAAATTGACCCAATTTTTAGCATGAATGGAATACTCAGAATCCTCTTTTTTATATCTTACAGGGTGCCACTTTAAAGTATTTACCAAATATCATCAATGACGTCAAACTGGTATTTGATCCGGTTGAGCTCAGGTAGCTAGAAAGCATGTGTTTTTTCCTCCTTGAATCTGGCTGGGCTGTTCTGAACCAAAAAAGCAAATTAGTTGTTGGGGAGGGGGGAATACAGGAACAGCCATGAATTGTTTGATTTTTTTCCTGCAAGAATTGTCAAGGTGACTCTTAAAAATGAGGGAGACCATAACTCTGTTATGAACATAAGAACATAAGAGACGCCAATGTTGGATCAGGCCAAAGGCCCATCCAGTCCAACACTCTGTGTCACACAGTGGCCAGAAATACCAGTGCCATCAGGAGGTCCACCAGTGGGGCCAGGACATTAGAAGCCCTCCCACTGTTGACCCCCCCAAGCACCAAGATGACAGAGCATCACTTGCCCCAGAGCCCCTATCTATACCTTGTGGCTAATAGCCACTGATGGACCTCTGCTTCATATGTGTATCTAATTCCCTTTTGAAGCCGTCCATGCTTGTAGCAATTATGGACTCCCTGTAAATGACTCAAATGAAAGAATTATGTCAGAGATGCAGTGTCATCCTAAACAGAGTTGTATCCTTCTAAGGCTGTTGAAGTCGATGGACTGAGAAGGGTGTAAATCTGCTTAGGATGGCACTGTCAGAGAACATAATGTGGTCCAAAGAACCATTCATCACCTGTTAGGAGTGGTCCACATTCATTTTGTGGGGGTAGTTCAGTTTGGTGTAGTGGTTAAGTGTGTGGACTCTAATCTAGGAGAACCGGGTTTGATTCCCCACTCCTCCACTTGCACCTGCTGGATGACCTTGGGCAAGCCGTAGTTCTGGCACAGCTGTTCTTGAAAAAGAGCAGTTTCTGTCAGAGCTCTCTCAGCCCCACCTATCTCACAGGGTGTCTGTTTGTAAGCCGCTCTGAGACTCCTTTGGGTAGTGAAGAGCAGGGTATAAATCCAATCTCTTCTCTTCTTCTCTCTTCTTATGACTGAATCTTATTTGTGTTTTGAATAATGTAACACACTCATCCCTCGAATTGGTTGACCTCATTTTGTAATTGTATCTTCTAGACTGTTTCCTCTGGTTGCAGACATGTGTATGTTTCTACCAGCTCAGCTTATGCCACGTTGATGTGTTAGTTTTTAAAGTATCACAAGACTCTGTTCATCATTTGGGCTGCAAATGGGCTAATGTGGCTACCTCTCAGAAATTACTGAGTCTTGTGTACTCATGTTAGTCAGATCACATATTAAAGGAGAAAGCCGAAACCATTCAGGGTCACTTGCCAGTGCAACCAGGGCAGGAATGTGATTTTGACATAGCAAAATGTCAAAATTAGTGCTACTGGGATAGGGACTTCCCCCCCCCCCTTCTATCATTTTTTTTCTTGCCCTCATCAAGGTTTATAAGGCTCTTAAACCTTGATGAGGGCAAGAAAAAAAGAGAGAGAAAGGGGGGGGGGAGTCCCTATCCCAGTAGAACTAATCCACAAAACCTGTCTAGCTATTAGATCAAGATGGGTAGCCATGTTTGTCTGTTTGTAGCAGTAGTAAAGAGCAAGAGTCCAGTTGCACCTTAAAGACTAACAACATTTGTGGCAGGGGATGAGCCTTCCGAGTCACTGCTCACTTCTTCAAATATCTGAAGAAGTGAACAGTGACTTTGAAAGCTCATACCCTGCCACAAATTTTGTTAGTCTTTAAGGTGCTACTGGACTCTTGTTCTTTTCTACTGCCTGGCTACTGCAGGTCTGATGTTTGTTTGTGTTACCTAAGGGACCGCCTTTCCCCACATGTTCCCCCAGGGGCACTACGGTCGGTCGGGGAATCCAGATCTCCTGGATATTCCAGGCCCCAGAAACATCAAATTCGCTGTCACCAGGGCTAGGGCGTTTTCGGTGGCAGCTCCTACCCGGTGGAATGAGCTCCCAGAGGAGATCCAGGCCCTGTGGGACCTGGTGCAGTTCTGCAGGGCCTGTAAAACGGAGCTCTTCCACCAGGCTTTTGAGAAGGCGCCGCCGCCGCCACTATTCCATCACCGCCCCTCATCTCCGCACTTTGACCATCAGTGGAGTGGGTATTATTGGGGGCGTGAGACGTTCCTTGGCAGATGACAGTGTAGTTGGGATGCACATTGTTGGTTTGTTGTTCTGGTATAAAACCTCCAGAACCCCATCTTGAAATCTACAGTTAAGTAATTCTGGAGCACGACATTTTTTAGTGTATTATGCATATTGTATTTTATATTGTTTTATATTGTTCATTGTTTTAACCAGGCATTTATGCCCCTTGTGAGCCGCCCTGAGCCTTCGGGGAGGGTGGGATATAAATGTAAAGATAAATAAAATAAATAAATAATAAAATATGGCAGAATCAGTGCTGAAAAGCATGACTTTAATAAAAACCATTCCTTCTGTGCCTGATGATGTTCTGCTTTCCAGCATCCTCTTTAGCAAATTCATTCAAAGCATCCCTGACAACCAGCTGGTTCGCCAGAAACTGAACTGCATGACCAAGATAGTTGACAGTGACCTGTTCCGTCAAGCTGGTAGGTCTATGAGCTAGGAACTTGAAACCACAGGCCTGAAATAAGTTTGCAAACAACAGTTCGGAAGTTGGCATGAATCCTAGTTTACCCATTGGCCATTGTGAAAAACTGGCTTGACTAATCGAGACATGGAAGACCGGATGGGCTTGGAAAAGGGGAGGAGGATTGAGTTTCCAGATCATTTCAACTGAGACAGCCTGCATGGAACATTTTATGTGTGCAACCAAGGAGAAGGCGGGGTTTCTGTAACCAAGGCGGGGTTTCCATGCATCTGATTGCCCTTGGGGTTGTCATGTCTACCCTTCCACCCTCCTGCCCTTGTCATGCCTTCTTTTTGTCCACATCTTGGTACAAAGCTTTGTACAACACAGCTCAGTTGCACTGGGCCAATTGTACCTCTGGGATGTCACATGGGTGCAACATTATCACCATTCTCTTAGTAATGCATAGTGGATTATGCTGAATTTCCTTGCACTTGTAAGCCTAGGGAGGGGGCTATGAAGTTTAATATTATTGAGGATTTTTTTATTCACAAGCTTTTTTAAAAATTCAGTAAATGGTAAGCTAAAAGCAAAAAGAGAGGGGAGGGAAACATGGCCCAAGCCTGATGTATTGATTCTCTGCATTTTATTTCTGGATTGTTTCCCAGAGTGCCGAGATGTTCTTCTGCCTCTGCTTGTTGATCAGCTAAGTGGACAGCTGGATGATAATTCCAGCAAACCTGACCACGAAGCCTGTTCGCAGCTCCTCAGCAATATTCTTGAGGTTTTGGATCGTAAGGAAGTGGTGAGTGAATACATGAATGTGACTTTTTATAATACATAAATAAACACACATGCAGAATAACCAAAGCTCATTGAAAAGTCTCATCTTTGGCTATAAAAAACCCCCTGGATTCAAGCGCCAGTATTTTTTAAATTCAAGGCCTTGGGTGACTAGATTGAAAGAGATTCCAGGGCTCCACGAAGAAGTGATGTTGCCAATCAGAGCAGATAAGGCCCGGCACACCCCCCCCCCCCCCGAGTGTAATGTTAGTACTGGGTGCAGAATTTACCCTTCTGAAAATATTGACTTTTAGTGGCTTTTTAAAACAGGCTTGAAGAACTGTAGATAGAGGTAAAAAGAAGGCAAGATTGACAGCTGAGAGGTTACAGGGATTTGTGCACAGCTGGGCAAGTTCAGTGAGATAAATGTAGAGCTCTGCGCTGCTTTCCAAGTCCACCAAACACATTCTGCAAACTAGTAAAAATGGACTAAGAAAATAGGCAACTATGTTATAACAAGCAGGGAAACTGTAAGGACATTTCCCCCTGTATCCCTTTCCACGCACAGTTTCCTCTTTCTTTCCTGGCTGCCCCTGTATCCTGTCCCCTTTCCCTGCTTTTGTCTCTCCTTCCCACTCAACAACCAACCTTTCTTTTATCTGCCCCCCATCTCCAGCTTTATTTAGTATTTGTTTGCTTCATTTATACCCCACCTTTCTCTCCAGTATGGACCAAAAACCACTCACATCATTCTCCTCTCCTCCATTTTATCCTCACAAAAACCATGTAAAGTAGATCAGGCTGAGAGAGAATGGCAATTTGGAACTGACACTCTAGCCACACTGGCGCTCAGCTTTCCCTCCTTCCCTCCCCATGGCAGCCTCTCTCTGGTGGTGCAATTATTGGTCAATTTGCTCTTCCAATGGAGATTCCAGTTGGAACAGGATAAATTTCTTTTTCACCATTTCAAGGCATGGTTTCGCTTTCACACTACATGCACATTGCATCACAGCCCCCACTTCACTCTTGTCATGCTTAGAGATGTAAAATTTCCGGAAATTCTGAAGCTTGGAAAAAAACCCGGGGTTTTTTGGTAAAATTTGGAAATTTTTGGAAAAATTGAAAAAAATGCTACATTAGCACTTCTCTTTTCTTTTCCAGATTGAAAGTCATTCTGTTACTTTAGGAACATAAAATATGACTATGGACATTTTTACTTGGCATCAAAGTATCACAACTAGCATATAAAAATATAGTGTATCCATACAATTATTACAAACCCACATGCAAAGACAAAACTGAAACCTTTTTCTTTTCTTGTGACAATAGCACCTCCTAAAGGAAGAAATGCATTGTGTTCTTGCATTGGAGAGTTCAGTTTGTAACCTAGAACTTGCTTGTCCTCAGTGCACAGAAATTAGATCAATCTGATACCATACATATTTTTTAGAATTGATTTGGAAAATATTTGAACACCTTGTCTTAAAATATTTTATTCATCGTGTTAAAATAAAATGTTCCATAATCGATTTTTTTCCTTTTCTTTTTTCAATTTTTCCAATTTTTCGGAAAAAAACAAAAAAGGCTTTAGGAAAAAACCCGATTTTTTCCCAAATTTTCCCAGTTTTTTTCCGGACCTTCACATCTCGAGTCATACTACCATCATGATCTTCCACTTACACGTGTTTTTGTTTTTGTTTTTAATCGGGCTTTTGTGTAGTGCTGCTTGAGAATAGTGGGATTCAATACCCTTCTTTTGGGGAAAAAATGCACAGTCTTTCAGTTGTAGCACTGAACAAGACATTGGTCCCCACTGGCATCAGTTCCCCTGTTCCATCTCCCTATATTTGGTTTCCATTTCAGTGATGGGCTGGCCAGAACACTGGTCTTTGTGTTTCAGTACTGTAATAATAGCACTACAATGTTGCCCTGACCTCAAAATTGGGATTTATTTATTTTTTAAACCCAGGCAGTTCACTGTGAAAAGAAGTGGAAGGGGTATTTCTTTTATTCAAGTACAAGATATGCCTTCCCTTTCAAATACAAGACAAAGACCATCCTGGGAAATGTTATGCTGGGAAACCACATTTTGTTCTGGTTTTTAAAAAGTGTGTTTTTGTGGAAAGAGTAGGCTATTCACGATTTGTACAGGAATGGAGGATAAAGTCATCTGGCAACAAAAAATAAAAGCAAATGAGTAAGGTAGCTGAAACAGAGAAAGTCCACTGTGTGGAATCAGCTGGGGTCTTTACTCCATCTCACATCCCTGAGCCTGTTCGCAGGATGGGTGGGTCTGTTTTACAGGTAAAAACTGAAGTGGTGGAATGAACTAGATCACATCAAACTTCAAGAGTAGGATCACAGTTTCAGAATATTCCCTTCTGCTATTCCCCCACCACCACAGAAACCCAGCAAAGCAGGCAAAGAGAAGGGGAAATAGAAAACTTCTCTCTGCTGTACTAGTTTTCTATTTGAGTCATTTTTTTAAATGCAAAAGAGTATTTAAAACTGGAATGCATCCCCTGCGGTCTAAACTGGAGCACTCCCATCTGACAGCTTCAGCATTTGCCACCTTATTTTCCTGCAGGTACTCTCCCATAGAAGTAGGCATAGAGATGAAAGGAGGTAGTGTTTGATTCGCTAACTGGGCCTATGCAACACTAAACCATTTGAATCTAAACTGTGCTGCGTTTTCAGCATGTATTTCTTGTGCTGAAACCTTTTTGTTTTGCTACAGCTTCTTTCAATAAGTATCCAGCCAGCCTTCTCCTCCTCAGCACCAAGAATCTCTGTGAGAGGAGCTGAGCCAAAGTTCTGCCTAACCAGCTTGTGTTCTGCTTAATCTCCTCAGGGCCCCACTGCTGTTCACATCCAGTTGATTATGGAGCGCCTGCTGAGGAGAATAAATCGAACGGTGATTGGAATGAGCAGACAGTCTCCTCACATTGTGAGAGCCATTTTCCTAGAGTCTGTGCTTACTTTGTTTGATAAGTGTTCCTTTATTCTGTAATTCTGCACTCTGGAGTCCATCTTGCAGAGGCACAGACAGGCGTGGGATGCTGTCATTTCTTTAATTGCTTTTCCACCAACTTGTTCCCATTTTATATGCTGTCCAGTGGGAACTGGAGCAGGACATAACAGCTTAACTGAGTCTTCGCCAGTTTTCCCAGTTAAGATTTGGAAATTCTTTACCTCAGTCCACTCTACATTATCACACTGGTACCTCATCACCTTCTGTGATGCTTTCTGGGAAAGCCTTTATTTCAAAAGCAGGGATGTGGCTGTGCTGAGAGACAACACTTTCTCTTTATTTTACTAGGACGTTTTATGTTGCTTTTCTCCTCAAAGTGAACCTAAGCAACTTATAGAAATTTCAGAAAGAACCAGTTTAAACAATATAATTTAAATGATCACAGAAAACAAACACATCCCAGTTGGTTCCTGATTCATTGGGCTGGCTACCATAGGCCCTGGGCCATAAGCCACAGCTATGGGCTAAGAGCACTTTGCCTCTTACCTTTTGACTTGTGCCTCTGGCCATGCCCAGACTTAAGTACCTACAAGCAGAGGGGGAAAAACCAAGCTCAGTCCAAGTGGTGCTTGGCGACTGTTAGGAGGATCTTTTCTACTTCTTCCCCTCCCTCTCCCATAACCCAGAACGTGGTATCACCCAGTTTCAGGATGGGCAAAAGGAAGTATGTTTGTACATGACACACAATTATAGTTACAGTGGATTGAAAATATACCCCACATTGACAGTATGAGCCAATCCTGACAGCTCCACTAAAAATGTTAAGGGTTTTGTGTACATGGATATCAAGTAAGAGTTTTTGATCAGGGATTTGACATCTGTGAGCTTTACCTTTTATCCCACCCACCACCATCTTCATTCTTTGGTCTGCTTAATACAACCTCATTTTGTTAGATCTGATTAATTGAATACTGTTGCTTACCAGTGATAATGTTGTTTTAATCAAGCCCTTTGCAAAGAAGAAAAAGAAAACCAAGGAAATTGATGGGAGCTCTTTGTTTTCCCCCTCCCCTTTTTCATTTCCAGGGTAGTTTTGTGGCATGCATGACAGCCATCTTGAGACAGATGGAGGATTCCCATTACAACCACTACATCAGCACTTTCAAAACCAGACAAGACCTTATTGTGAGTCTGACTGAACTTGAACTGGGCACTTGGGGGTGGGGGGGAGCAGTGAGCCAAACCATAAATATTGAGTCTGAAGCTGTGTCTTGGGGTGGTGGTCAGTCAGTCTGGTTTATGAGCACTGTTTTATTTCCAGCATTTGTGTGGTTATTTTTCCCTATAGCTGTGGTATTCTGCTGGCAGTGGGCTGCCCCCCAAGGTGCAGCACCAAAGGCAGTAATCAAATTGAGGCTGGAAGAAAGGTGTGGAGGGGGTGGCACCTTTCTTAGGGTAAGCAGGAAGCCTGTTGGGGGAGAAATAAAGGACTATTTTTTGCATCCGTAGGTTTTACTGTTTTACTGTAAGACTATGTTGCTGAGTATGTTAATTTTCTGTTATTGCTGGCTGCCTTGGAAGCCATTTGCAGGTAGAAATGAACTCTCTAAGAAAACCATCCTTCTGGTCCTTTTGATTTACTGTGCTTGAGTGTGTGTATTTGTAATACCTCATGAAATGTCAGAACCTGGAGGAATCAAATAAGATTGTGGCCACTCAGAGGATGGAGCTTTAGTACCTAACTACTCCTAGAACAAATTATGCAAAATAGCAAATATTTGCAGAATGAATCAAGTAAAATAAGAAACATCATGCAGATTTACTTCTTGTGCATAATGCGTATCAGCCACAGCATTCATCTTTCCTTGATGCAGAATTTTGATTGCCTGGGTACAGAATTAGAATGTTGTCTCCCATGGAGTACAGATTAGCCCTGGCTATATAGCCCTTTCCCTCTTTCCTCTGTTTCTCTATGCATTTTTCTGATCATGAGTTCAGCCATTGGCTGGCCCAGGGCCTGAGCAGCCAGGGCCAACACTGTGACATGGAAAATCAATAAGCGGCAAGGCTGGATGGCAGTCCAGGGACCAGCATGTGTTTAGTTCACTCTGGAAAAAAGAGATCGGGAGTGGTGCTCTGTTCTTCCACTGTGGAACCTCTGCCAAGAGCTTTGAGGGCTTTGACTTTATTTGGTCTGATGAAAAGTTGGCAGTTTTGAGGCACCGGGATTGGCTTCCAGAAATGCAGATGTGTTTTTATTACCGTAAAGGCCATGTGACACATTTGCAACGAAATCCCTCAGGCCACTCAAATCTTATACTAGTCTTGAGGTTTACTTTCAGTATTTCCACACCCAGATCAAGTTATTCATAAGCTTCTTTCTAGTGCAGATGATCTTTCCAAACAGCATGGGAAGTCGGTGTTGGGAGAACTTGGATCTCCTGGGAGGGTTTTTGGGCAGCCATATGCGAAGCTGACCAGTCAGTTTGATTCCTTCTTTGTCATTAAAATCATCTTCAGTGTCTTTCCATGCCCCAGTCAGGAGTGACAACCATATACTGATCCTTTGTAAGCATACACTGAATCTTTTGTCTGGAACCATGTAGTACAAAAATCAATGCTTGATTCCTGAAAATTCTGACTGAATGTTGTGCATATCTGTAAACCAGTGTGAAATGTCTTAACTCCACACATTCCTGGTAAGTTATTCATGTATATGTTATTTATTCATTGGTTTATTTAATCCCTCTTTTCAGCCAAAAAAAAAAAATCCCTGAAGTGGTTCACAGCAACCATAATCCAATAGAAATTAGAATTACACAAATGGAGGCCCGCAAGAAACTTGCGGGATGGTTATCTCATTCATCACACCTTTGCTTCCTCTCCTCACCCCCTACCTCTCTCACACTATTTCTCCCCTCTGCCCCCCTTTTCTTGCTCTCTATTTCTCCTCCATGCATGTGACTTCCTCTCTCTTTCTGACCTGTCATCTTTCTCATTGTTTTTCTGCCTCTCCACTTCATCACTCTTTCTCTCTCTTTTTCTGCTCCACCCCTCAAATGTCCAGGAATTTCCCAACCTGGAGTTGGCAACCCTATTTATTTATTTATTTATTTATTTACCTTTACCAGTTTACCTTTATCTGCCTCTCTGCTTTTCATCTCCACCCTCAGCCTCTACCTAGGAAAATTACAGTCTTTCTCCGCAGTGGGGACCAAAGCAGCTTTCATTATTCCCTCCTCCTTTTTATCTGCACAACAACCCTGTGAGGTTGGTTAGGCTGAAATATGTGACTGGTCCAAAATCACGCAGCCAGCTTCCACTGCAAGATGGGGATCTGAACCTGGGTCTTGCAGACCCTACTTTGAAGCTCTAACTGCTGCACCTCACTGGCTTTCATAGGGTGGCTGCTGATGAATGGTAGTAAGCAGCCGAGGCTAGGTGAGTCATGCAAATCAGGGGGGACCTGGCAACCCTAGACAACTGCCAGGCCTAGAGTTGCCAACCTCCAAATGGGACTTGGGGACCCCCCAGAATTACAACTGGATTCTAGATAGCAGAGGTCTGTCTCCCTGCAGAAAATGGCTGCTTTTGAGGGTGGACTCTGTGGCATTATACCCAGCTGAGGCCTCTCCCTTCCCAAACTCAGCCCTCCACAAAATCTCAAGAAATCCCCCAGCCTGGCACTGGCAACTCTTGTGAGGCCTGGCCCCACGGCTCCCTCCCTCCCTCCTTGAAAGGCCAAAAGAGGCCTGGAAAGGGCCCTTCCCCCACCCTTTTACTGACAGAGCCAGTTAGAAGCCCCTCCCCCCCGAACGTTCAATCTCTCTCTCACCATTGATGCCTGGAGTTAGATCCCTGCAGAGGTCATTTCAAAAGGTATTGAGGGGAATTCAACCCTCCCTGAAGGGATTTTTTTACTTCTTGGATTTTTCTGCAGACACAGGAAGTATACTGACTATGTAGGAAAAGCTGTTGGAGCTTCCTGTTAGTGGAAATAAGTATCCGCACAACACGCCCTCTGTTGGAATTAGATATATAGATTTTAAAATTAATTTTTAAGGTGATCATGGGGTGACCTTCCTCTGTATTGCTTCCCAATATGGGATCAGGTTGCTAGCAACAAGAGAGGGAGCTTCAGAGTAAGTTGATATAATGGCCCTTATCCTTTGAAATCCTGTTTGAAGAGGTCTGGAAAAAAAGAAAAAAGCAGGTGCAAGGTGAAAGTATTTAGTAGAGCTTTTATTAGGGTTTTTTAAATTCCACCTTGAGCAAATTTCACCCTGTAGAAGATTCCCCCAAAGAAGCTTTACTGCAAAACATGTAGGGCTCTATAAAGCTCTAATAAATACTTTCACCTTGCACCTGCTTTTTTCTTTTCTTCCTGCTACTGGTTCAGCCACTGTTCTCCAGCACTGAAGAGGTCTGGTCACCACCCCCTGCATTGTTGGCCTTCCAGAAGATAGTGAAGACATTTCCCCCCCAGAGGACTCAGTTTTAAGGGTTTTGAGCACCCCTTTTTTGTCTTTTGAGCAGACAAGAGAAAGCTGCCTTATACAGAATCAGACTGCTGAGTTATTCAAGGTCACTATTGTCTGCTCTGACTGACAGAGGTCTTCCAAATCACCTACTGCCTGATTCTGGAGATTCTGGGGACTGAACCTGGGACCTTTTGCTTACTACTTCCACTGAGCCATGGCCCCCACCTCAATGTAGTGCTGTTATCCTGGTTTCAGGGTTGTTGTGGGTTTTTTGAACTACTGTTTTCTGGATTTTATTGTTTATCTGATGGCTTTTTCTGTTCCATTTTATTGCTTTTTCTGCTGATGGGTTACTACGTCGTGTAGTTTTAATCGGCTGCCGGATGTTTTTGGATTGTAGTGTGTGCTTTTTAATTCTGTATTTTAAGTTTTAATTTTTGTAAGCTGCCCAAGATACTTGAGTAAAAGGGTGGGATGGGAATACAGCAAACATGACAGAATGAAATGCTGCTGCTTGGGGAAAGGGTTCTCCACTGGAATTAGATCCAGGCATGATGGATGGGTGCCTGACAGCCACCTTTCCTTCCCCTGATGTCCTTGGCAATGCAGTATTAAATTCTAATCCTTGTAAAGGCTGTAACTGTTATTAAGCCAAAACTGTGCAAAATTATGTGAAGTTTGGCTCGTAATGGGTATTGCGAAGTGATAGATTAAAGTGAGTTGGTACCAGGCTGAAATCACCTCCGTTAGTCTCTGTAGTAATAAAACAGGGTTGCATATTCACCATTTCCTAAATCAAGTTATGAGTCCTAGCATAACATACAAATCCAATAAAGCATCTCCGCTCTATAAAGGGTCTCAAATATAAAACCATATGTCACATTTCATTCCCACCCACTCATCATGCTGTCATGGGTTGGCAAGGGGGGGGAGGGAAATGAAACAACCAATCAAGTTGTCTAATCTGTTCTCCTGCAAAGAACAAATTATTTTTTAAGACCACCTCCTGTGCAAAGACAGTATGTAATGTATACTATAAAAGTGAGTCTTCATTTTTGCCCAGATTAGCAAATGAGCCTGACCAGGAAGCATTTAGAGAGTCAGAGAGTATCACTTGTACCGCTGCAGCATGTTGATGCAAAAAAGACCTGCTTTGCTAGTCTGGTTGGTCTTCCTTTGGCTATAACTGTGTGGAAGCACATAGGCTGTCACTGAAATCTCCAGTTAAGACCACGTGACTCAATCATCCATGTAAAGAAAAGGAAATCCACATTTGGGATGCCAAAACAACAATAGAAAAAGTGGATTCAGGATAGATTTC